ACGCTGTTGCGCGCTACAGCACAGTTCTGCGGCAATATGGGATGGTGCGGCGTAAATTCCCAAATTTGGCCCGATACACTATGAATATTTGACTTCAAGCTAGATTCTATCCGCTTGTCCCATGCCCCATCCACCGATGGCTTTTGACCTTCCCTCCTTCGTCAACCATTGTCCGCTTTTCCCGGTCTCCGGACTGCCTCTGGACCGATTTACGTGTTTAGCGGCAAATCCCGCTCCTAGATGCATGCTCCGCACACCGTTAGAAATTCACTTCCTTCTTCCGCCCACCTTTTTACCGATCTCTGTTACTTATTGGGACCGAGTTGTAATTCTCACAACAAACTCCGCCCTCTTTGTTGCAAGCAACGTCCACCAATAGCAGTTGGCCTCCTTCCCTTCGCCACCTCTACCCATTTCCTCCCAGTTTCCGAGACTGCTCGGAACCAAATTGTGAAGTTTTGTGGCAAACTCCGCTCATTAGTGCACTCCCACCCACCAATGACAATTCACTTCCCTTTTGTTGTCAGATTCGATCCACTTTTTTACCGGTCTCCAGAACTTCTTGGAACCGAGTTAATAGTTAATAATGTTTCTTGGATAACGCCGCCCACATTGTTGCACGGCAGTTGACTTCCCTTCCGTGGTTCAACTCTGGCCTTTTTCCCGGTCTCTTTGATTGGAGTAAAGACTGTTAGAATCCACAAACCTCTGCCAATAATAGCTGCGTTGAATCAGCCCGGTAGTGCAGAATACTGGAGCTCTAGAGACGATGAACCCGGCGGAGGTCGTTTCCGCATCATGTTGGTTTTTGAAGCATAACTCTTTGGAGAAGCTATCCAGGTAGTCGAGAAAGTGACAAATTATAGGCAAAAGGTCTACCGAGTAGGATGTTCGCAGGACTAATTCGTAGCCAATCTTGTCCAACTTCTGCAGGGTTGGTTGTGGAATGTGCGTCCGAGCTACCTGTCAGGGACGAGCCGGTTCCTTTATAATGAGGAATTTCGAGCATATGTGCCAGAGTTCTAGGAGTAGTTTGACACATTATCAGGAGTACTTTTTCCACATTAACAGATCCACCTGGTTACGAAAGTAGACCACCCGCTGACCTCTTTGAAGGCTCTCTCTATCCTTACAAAAGCTTTTTGAACAATTGCTTCAGACCATATTTATTGCGAGTCTCAGCCAAGTGCATCTATAATATCTTGACCTGCTTCCTCTCC